GGAAATCCCCTAGCTCCCAACTCACCATGGAGTGAGCAAGAAATGAGCTGTGTATTCAACACCTCAACTTTTCTGAGGGCTGCCCGGTGGCTGACTTCTGTTTAGCCTGTCTCAGAGTGCTATTGGGACCTGGCATAACCCCGCTGCCTCAGGGCCGTGAGAACAGACATGGTGGGATGATCTAGAGTGCAGGTAGTCACCACAGCCCAACTCAGCACAGAGTGAATAAGAAACACACACACACACACACACACACACACACACAAACCCACCTCAGATCCAAGTTTCTCACTAGGGAAGGAAAGAGTTGAACAAAACACCCAACTATCCAATTTTCTGGAGGCTACCTGAGGAACTTCCTTTAGTCACTTGTCTAAAGTGCTGACAGGACCTGGCATACTCTAGACACCCGGAGGTTGCAGAAAACAAAGAAAGTGGGGTGGGCCAGCAGGAAGTTTAAAGAGGCCCCCAGAATCTTTGGCTTGGCTGATTGGTGAGGGTCTTCTCCGGTACCTGGCCAGTTCATGAAAACTTGACAGAGGCTGCTTTGTTTAATGTTCAGACACCAACACAGAAAGGCAAGGAAAATGAAGAAACAGGGAACAGTGTTTCAAAGGAATAAGATAAATCTCTAGAAACTGACCCTAGTGATGTGGAGTTATATGACTTATCGGACAGGAAATTTAAAATAACTATCAGAAAATTGCTAGCTGAAGACCGGAAAACAACGTATGAACAAAGAGAGAATTTCGACAAAGAGACAGAAAATACTAAAAAGTTCCAAACAGAAATCATGGAGCTGAAGAATATAATAACTGCACTGAAAAACTCACTAGAGGAGTTGAACAGCAGGCTGGATCAAGCAGAAAAAAGGATCAGTGAACTCAAAGAAAGGTCATCAGAAATTAATCATAGGATCAAACAGAAAAGACAAAAAGAGTAAATAAAGTAGAAGGGGCTTATGGGACACCGTCAAGCAGATCAACAGATGCATTAAGGAAGTCCCAGAAAGATAAGGGGAAGGACCATTATATTCAAAGAAATAATGGTTCAAAACTCCTTAGATTTGGGGGAGAAAATGGACATTCAGATTCAAGAAGCCCAAAAAATCACAAATAAGATGAACCCAAAGAAATTTACACCAAGGTACATTAAAATCAAATTGTCAAAGACAAAGAGAGAATTAAAAAGCAGCAGGGAGGCCGGGCGCAGTGACTCATGCCTGTAATCCCAGCACTTTGGGAGGCCAATGTGGGCAGATCACAAGGTCAGGAGATGGAGACCAGCCTGACCAACATGGTGAAACCCTGTCTCTACTGAAAATATAAAAATTAGCTGGGCATGGTGGCACATGCTTGTAGTCCCAGCTACTCAGGAGGCTGAGGCAGGAGAATCACTTGAAACCAGGAGGTGGAGGTTGCGGTGAGCCAAGATTGCACTCTCTGCACTCCGGCCTGGCGACAGAGCAAGACTCTATCTCAACAACAACAACAACAAAAAAAAAAAAAAAAAAAAAAAAAAAACAAAAAACAACAACAACAAAAAAAAACAAAGAAAGAAAGAAAAGAAAAAGAAAAAGAAAGCAACAGGGAAAAGTGACTCATCACATTTAAGGATCTCCATAAGACATTAAGAAATAAGCTAACTTTTTAGAAATCTTGCAAAAATGAAGATGAGAGACATACTTTCCAGACAAACAAAAGCTGACACTATTCACTACTAAACCTGCCTTACAAGAAATAATGAAGGGAGCTATTTCACTGGAAATGAAAGGACAATGAACAGCAACATGATAGCATAAGAAAACATAAAACTCTTTGACAAAGGTAAATAAATAGACAAATACAGAATACAGTATTACGTCATGGTGGTGGGTAAATCACTTTTAGTTATAACATGAAAGTTAAGTTACAGAATTGTTGAAGATAATTACAACTAAAAATATTTTAATGGGTGCATAATCTAATGTTAATTGTGACATCAGTAACATAAAGTGGGAGGAATGGTAAAAGTGTAGAATTTACTTATGTGATTGAAGTTAAGTGTTATTAGCTTAAAACACAGTATTTTAATTATAAGATACTTTATGTAAGCCCTATGGTAGACACAAAAGAAATACCTACAGAAGTTACACAAAAGAAAAGGAGAAAGGAATCAAAGCATAGCAACACAAAAATATCAACGAAACACACACACAAAAAAAACATGAAAAGAGGGATAAAGCACAGGAAAACAGGAAAGGAAGACAGAAAAAAAAACAGGAAGACAGATGATGCCACCTGATTCCACTTATATGAGGTACCTGAAATAGACTCATAAAGTCAGGGAATAGAATGTTGTTTGCCTGCCAGGAGGTGAAAGGAGTGGGGAATGGGGAGTTTCTAATCAATGGGCATGAAGTCTCAATTACGCAAGATGAATAAGTTCTAGAGATCTTCTATACCACATCGTCCCCATAGTTACAACACTACAGTGTACTACGCTTAAGATTTTCTAGAGAGGGTACATGTTAAGTGTTCATATCACATAAAAACAAAAATTTTAGATGAGGAAAACGGAGGGCATCTACAAGCATATTCATTGCAGAAAACTGAAGCCTCAGAGAAGACTAAAATCATTGTCTCAACAAACCAAGGATAACTTTGCCATGATTGTAAAATATTTACTTCTAGTCCCTTCTTGGCTTATATAGCCATTGTCAAACTTTTACAAATAAGAGATGGTATCAGAGTTTTTTGTTTGTTTGTTTGAGATGGAGTCTCGCACTGTTGCCCAGGCTGGAGTGCAATGGTGTGATCTCGGCTCACTGCAACCTCCGCCTCCTGGGTTCATGTGATTCTCCTGCCTTACCCTCCTGAGTAGCTGGGATTACAGGCACACACCACCGCACCTGGCCAATTTTTTGTATTTTTAATAGAGACTGGGTTTCACCATGTTGGCCAGACTGGACTGGTCTTGAACTCCTGACCTCGTGATTCATCTGTCTTGGCCTCCCAAAGTGCTGGGATTACAGGCGTGAGCCACCACATTTGGCTGATATTATTTTATAATGCATAATTTTGCTCAATTTACATTTAAGAATAAACTTTTTTTTTTGAGACAGGGTCTTACTCTGTGGCCCAAGCTGAAGTACAATGGTGCAATCATGGTTCACTCGAGACTTCTGGATTCAAGCAATCCTCCCACCTCAGCCTCTCAAGTAGCTGAGATTACAGACACATGCCACCACGCCCAGCTAATTTATTTTTATTTTTTAATATTTTTTTGTAAAGACAGGGTCTCACTATGTTGCAGAAACTGGTCTCTAATTTCTGGGTTCAAGCAATCCTCTCGCCTTGGCCTCCAAAGTGTTGGGATTACAGGCATGAGCCTTATTAATGTTTTGATAACATTATTTTATGTTATCAAAAAACAAGCCGCCAGGTGCGGTGGTGGGTACTTGTAGTTCTAGCAATTCAGGAGGCTGAAGTGGGAGGATCGCTTGAGCCCAGGAGTTCGGGGCTACAGTGAGTCATGACCACGCCACTGCACTCAAGCCTGGGCAACAGAGTGAGACCCTGTCTCAAAACAAAATAGAAATAAATTTAAAAACCAGCAGAAGCCAAGCCTGCTATGATCAAGACGATCTGTCAGTAGAATAGAAGTAAACAGAAACAGATCTCCAGATGGACAGATTTTGGAATCAGCAGAACTTAACTTGAAAAAAATCTATTGTAAATATGTCCAAAGATTAAAGGAGCAGATGAGCAAAATGAATGGACAAACAGGAAACCTCCATAATGAAATGGAAACTGTAAGACCAGGCGTGGTAGTACACACTATAATCCCACTGCTTTGCGAAGGCGAGGCAGGAGGATTGCTTTAGGCCAGGAGTTCAAGACCAGCCTGGGCAATATAGCAAGACCCCATCTAGACACACACACAGATACAAATAGTCAGGCATGGAGGCACACTCCTGTAGTCTTAGCTAGTTGGAAGACTGAAGCAGGACTGTGGCTTGAACCCAGCAGGTTGAGGCTGCAGTGAGCTATGATCACCACTGCACCAGCCCAGGTGATGGAGCAAGACCCTGTCTCTAAAACAGAGACAGAGAGGGTCAGGCGCGGTGGCTCACACCTGTAATCTCAGCATTTTGGGAGGCTGAGGCGGGAGATCACAAGGTCAGGAGGTCGAGATCATCCTGGCCAACATGGTGAAATCTCGTCTCTACTAAAAATACAAAAATTCGGTGGACAGGGTGGTGCATGCCTGTAATCCCAGCTACTCGGGAGACTGAGGCAGGAGAATCGCTTGAACCAGGGAGTCGGAGGTTGCAGTGAGTTAAGATTGTGCCACTGTACTCCAGCCTGGCAACAGAGTGAGACTCCATCTCAAAAAAAAAAGAGAGATAGAGAAAAGAGCCAGGCATGGTGATTAATGCCTATAGTGCCAGAGCATTGTCAAGGTGATAAAGAAATTGTGGTAGAGTCATGCCATGAAATACTACACAGCAAAAACAAAAATGAATTACTGACATATGCCACAACATGAATGAACCTCAAAAACTTTAGATTGAATAAAAACACCAAACACAACAATGTGTGTACTTAATATTCCTATTAACATGAAGAATTACTGAATTCTTCATCTCTGAATATAATCATGAATCTGTGTTGAGAGAAATCGGAAGAGTGACTGCTTATGGGGTAGGAATAGTGTTCAAGGGGCGGAGCGCCTTTTTGGGTGACGGAAATGTCTTCTATTTTGATTGGGGCTACTGTCCACAGTGGCGCACACATTTGTCAAATCTCATTGAAGTGTACATTTAAGATCTCTATATTGAAACACCATTCTCCACTAAAAGGAATTAGGGATCCTTGAAGCAATGGCTAGTTACTAGGTTGGTTCAGGGAACACAGAGGGGAGCCTGGAACCCCATGTTTATCAGAGAATATGCTGTGCTTCAAGAATGAAGGGGTCTGTGTGGTGGTACAAACCTGTAATCCCAGATACTTGGGAGGCTAAGGTGGGAGGATCCCTTGAGCCCAGAATTTCATGACCAGCCTGGGCAACATAGCAAGACCCTGGTTCTACAAATAGTTTTGTAAAAATTAGCCGAGGTTGGCCTGGCATGGTGGCTCACACCTGTAATCCCAGCACTTTGGGAGGCCGAGTGGGTGGATCATGAGAAAAGAGATTGAGACCATACTGGCCAACATGGTGAAACCCCGTCTCTATTAAAAATACAAAAAATTAGCTGGGCACGGTGATGCATGCTTGTAGTCCCAGCTACTTGGGAGGCTGAGGCTGGAGAATCACTTGAACCTGGAAGGTGGAGGTTGCAGTGAGCTGAGATCACGCCACTGCACTCCACCTTGGGAACTGAGCGAGACTCCATCTCAAAAAAAGAAAAAGTAGCCGGGACTGGTAGGGAGCATCTGTAGTCCCAGCTACCTGGGAGACTGAGGTGGAAGGATCCCTTGAGCCCAAGAGGTGGACGCTGCAGTTAGTTGTAATCGGGCCACTGTTCACCAGCCTGGGTGACTGAGAAAAACTCTGTCTCAAAAAAACAAACAAAAAACAAATGAAGGGGCATGTTGAAAAGACACAGGAGCTAGCTTAAAGGCACTCCCAGTGGCCAAACCTGGGATGATCTGAGCTATAAAATAAATACTGGAAGTTACAATGAGAATGCATTGAATAAATAGGACTTCATGAGTCCATTCTGATATTTATCAATTACATGACTTATGAGGGCTAGGATATTTACATAGTCTTGATTTACCTCCTCACAAAATCCTTGGCCATTACAGAGGGAGAGAGAGCAACTTCGCATTCTGAGAATGCTCGAGGTGCAGCTCATCTGTGACGGGGCAAAGTGAGATGTGTGTTCACCTGAGGGGGTGCCCTGGGAACACAGCGGCTCCTCTGAGATGATCCTAACAACAGTGTACACCCTGGATCTAACAACAAGGAAGCATCAGCCAGATCCAGACTGAGAAACCTCCTACGACGTCACCGGCGTGTGATTTTTCCAATGTTTCAAGGACATAAAAGTCAAGGAAATACTAAAGAACTAATCCAAACGGAGGGAAATTGGAGAGATGTGACGACCGAATGCAGCGTGCAGTTCCAGGCGGGACCGTGTGAGGAGACTGATGATCTGTGCAGGGCGTGTGAGAACTAGAGGGCACTCCTCTATCAGCCTGTTTCCTGACTTTGAGAGTTGCATTTTGATTATTGAGGAGAATATTCTTGCTGTGGGAACCACACACTAAAGTACTTGAGGGTGATGGGGCATCGAGTCGGCCACTTACTCTCACTTATTCCAGAAAATAAGTCAAGGCTGGACACGGTGGCTCACACCTGTAATCCCAGCACTTCGGGAGGCCAAGACGGGCAGATCACCTGAGGAGACAAGCCTGGCCAGGATGGTGAAACCCCGTCTCTACTAAAAATACAAAAAAATGAGCTGAACGTGGTGTCATGCGCCTGTCATCCCAGCTACCTGGGAGGCTGAGACAGTAGAATTGCTTACACCTGGGAGGCAGAGGTTGCCGTGAGCTGAGATCGCACCACTGTACTCTAGCCTGGGTGACAGAGCAAGACTTTGTCTCAAAAAAAAAAAAAAAGAGCCATCCTCTCACATTCCATGATTCCATGATAGATGCCACTCAATCTCAGAGTTTAGTTGTGTGTGTCTGTGGCGGGGCAGCGGGGGCTGTTTGTTTTTTGTTTTTTTTTTTTTGAGACGGAGTTTCGCTCTTGTTGCCCAGGCTGGAGTGTATTGGCGTGATCTCGGCTCACCGCAACCTCTGCCTCCTGGGCTCAAGCAATCCTCCTGCCTCGCCCTCCCGAGTAGCTGGGATTACAGGCATTTACCACCATGCCCTGCTAATTTTTGTATTTTTAGTAGAGACAGGGTTCTCCATGTTGGTCAGGCTGGTCTTGAACTCCCGACCTCAGGTGATCCGTCTGCCTCAGCCTCCCAAAGTGCTGGGATTACAGGTGTGGGCCACCGCACTCGGCCTTTGTGTGTGTGTGTGTGTGTGTGTGTGTGTGTGTTGTTGTTGTTCTGTCACCCTGGCTGGAGTGCAGTGCCGTGATCACAGCTTACTGTGACATCCAATTCCTAGGCTCAGATAATCCTCCTGCCTCAGCCTCCTGAGTAGCTGGGACTATAGGTGTGCACCACCACGCCCAGCAAGTTTTTAAAGCGTTGTAGAGCCAGGGACTTGCCACCTTTCCCAGGCTGGTCTCAAACTCCTGGCTTCAAGCAATCCTCCCACCTTGACCTCTCAACACACTGGGATTATAGGCATGAGCCTTTGTACCTGGCTCCAGAGTATGCTTTAAAAAAATGTGCTGCTTGATCCTATTTACTAATATCTTATTTAATGTTTTACATTGTCGTTATTGCAAACGACAATAACATTGCAATGATTGTCATTATAGCCTGAATTTTACATTATTGTGCTACATTTTGGAGTTTTATCAATATTATTTTTAAAATATGTTATTTTTATTGATTGATTTTTTAAAGACAGGATCTCACTTGTTGCCCAGGCTGGAGTGCAGTGGTGCAGTCACAGTGCACTGCAGCCTCCACCTCCTGGGCTCGAGTGATCCTCCCACCTCAGCATCCCAAAGTGCTGGGATTACAGATGTGAGCCACTGAGTGGCCAATGCAAAAATATTAAATAAAATATTAGTAAATAGGATCAAGCGGCACATTTTTAAAAACCACACTCTGGGGCCAGACACAGTGGTTCATGCCTGTAATCCCAGTGCTTTGAAGGCAAAGGTGGGAGGATTGCTAGAGCCCAGGAGTTTGAGACCAGCTTGGGCAACATAGTGAGACTCCATCTCTACAAAAAGTAAAATTTAAAAATTAGCTGGGCATGGTGGCTTGCACCTGTAGTCCCAGCTACGAGGGAGGCTGAGGTGGGAGGATCACTTGAGCCCAGGAGGTGGAGGCTGCAGTGAGCTATGATTGTGCCTCTGCACCTCAGCCTGGGCAACAGAGTGAGCTGTCTCAAAAAAAAAATTTTTTTTAACATTTTTAAGAATGAAAAATGGGGCCAGGCTTGGTGGCTCATGCCTGTAATCCCAGCACTTTGGGAGGCTGAAGCAGGCAGGTCAGGAGTTGGAGACCAGTCTGGCTAATGTGGTGAAAGCCTGTCTCTATTAAAAATACAAAACCAGGCCAGGTGCAGTGGCTCACGCCTGTAATCTCAGCACTTTGGGTGGCCAAGGCGGGTGGATCACCTGAGGTCAGGAGTTCAAGACCAGCCTGGGCAACATGGTGAAACCCCGTCTCTACTAAAAATACAGAAAAGTATCAGGGCATGGTGGCGGGTGCCTGTAATCCTAGCTACTCGGGAGGCTGAGGCAGTAAAATCACCTGAACCTGGGAGGTGGAGGGTGCAGTGAGCCTAGATCACATCATTGCACTCTAGCCTGGACAACAAGAGCAAAACTCCGTCTAAATAAATAAATAAATACAAAAACTAGCCGGGTGAGGTTGCAGCTCCTGTAATCTCAGCTGCTCGGGAAGCTGAGGCAGGAGAATTGTTTGAACTTGGGAGGTGGAAGTTGCAGTGAGCTGAGATTGCACCACCGCACTCCAGCCTGGGCGACAGAGCGAGACTCCATCTCAAAAAAAAAAAAAAAACGGTTCACATTTTTAAAATGGTCTGCATTTAAGAATTTGGTGTGCTTAGGTTTTTAAATCTCTTCAGAGATCTGTTGTAATATTATTTTCTGTAAGAATAATGTCGAAACCAGGCCTCATTTATTTGCTTGGTGTTCATCAAAGTGTGCTCTTATAATTCAAACCATCTTTTTGATATCTGGGATTATTTTCTTCTTTTGTATATTTCAACTTTCTCTTTTCTTTTTTTTTGGCGGGGAGGATCCAATTTTTTTTGAAAAAGCAGGGAACCCCCAGACATTGCATGGGTTTTAAGCTTTAGCCTCACCACTCTTGAGAGCCTTCTGCCCAGGAGGGCCAATTAGTTCCTCCTATCTGCTTGGTGAGGACCTGAAGTCCTCCCCACCCCTGCAAGACACCTGCCAGGGGAGCAGAGTCACTTATGGCCAAGAGGAATTGTTCTGGGGATTGGTTAGTCAGCAGGAAGAAGGGGAGAAGAAAACTGCATATGGGGGTTGAACGCCCCCAGCCAAAGAAGGTGAGTTGTAGAGGCCTCTTACCACTGGGGAACGTGCTGGAGTCACACAGCAAAGTGTGCTAGCAGCAGAATTATCCAAGTCGCAGGGCACCAACATGTGTTATTGGTGGCGGGTATCCAAGTTACCCGTGGCGAATCCGCAGAGGTCTGCAGCAGCCTCAGTTCTTGCCTCCTCAGAAGAAAGAATTTGACTGAGGGCACCAGGCAGAAGGAGAGACAGGCCAGTTTCAGAGCAGGGCCAAAAGCTTATTAAAAAGTTTTAGAGCAGGAATGACAGGAAGGAAAGCGCTCTTGGAAGAGGGCCAGGCGGGCGACTTGGAGGACAAGTGCCTGTTTCTTGTCTTTCATTGGGTTTTCTCACTGTTTTTGTATTTTATTTTGACTTAATCCTCACATAGTGATCTCCTAGACTTACTCATTCGTTCTAACCAACCCGAGTCCGTTCGTTTTTGCTTCTGCCTCTACGATCCGACCCTTTAGGAGGTGGTTGCCCCGCATGCCCACTGCGGGCAGGGAGCCACCTTAACCTTAGCATCTCCCTCTCGCTCCCACCGAGGAGGGCAGCCTCGGGTTGGCCCAAATGCCGCAGTGTTTGCTCTCACATGGTTCCCAGGCTGTCGTGAGGGGCCTTTCCTCAGGGTCTTCATGGGGGAGAGTCGGGGTGAGCGCCTCCTTCCTCACTTTGCACCCCTTCCTGCACATCATGCCAAGACACTCAGAGGCTCAGGCTCCACTAATGGAGGTGATTCTGGAGCTCAGGCATCAATCAACCAATGAAGAAAAGCCTCAGAAGCATTTCCAGCTTCTCGAGCTAAAAATATTGAATTCAGAATCTCTTGTAAATGCACACAGCTCGACAGGCTCCATCTAATCTTTAAGTTCGTGCTTCCCTCCCAGGTCTAGTGTTTGCAGAAGCCACGCCCCAACACCCCCAGTCTTCTAACAATGTAAATGACAAATCTTGCAAACCTTTTCATGTGTAAGCCTTCTTTTTCCAAATTAGGTTTGTGCTGATCCCCCGGGACGTGCCGGGATCTGATCCTAATTGTAGGTTTGGAAGCGGTGAGGGTGGTGGTGGTGGAGTGGGATGGAAGTCAGCACCTGCTTGCAAAGTAACCACATCAGGTGAGGCCACATCGAGGTCTCCAAACAAGGCAGGACCAGACCTGTCAAACAGGGGCTACTTCTGCTTGGTGTGATTGTTAGGGTATGCAGCTCGCCACCCTCCCTCCTGATACTGGGGTCCAACACTTCCCAGTCAATGCCCTGATTTTCACAGAGACCTGAGGGCGGATGAAAGTCCAGTCTACATCAGCATTCAACAAGCCTCCCAATTATGCCCTGGGGCTGATTCAAGGGCACATCAAACGCAACAGCCTTCAGAGATAAGAGATCCTTTTAGTGATCGTGGAAACCGTCTTGTTCTCTGACCATGCCTTGAGCTCCGCATTTGAAAATCCCAACCATGTCATCTTGTTTCCTTAGACTCTCCAGTGCAGCTCAGGGCAGCCGCCCCGTCCCACACTGTGGTGCTCCTCAGCACACCTCTGCTCCTCCTGCCTGCTGTACAATGCTGCTATCACCAGACCCACACTGTGCAGGCACTCCACTCCAGGTGAGCATGGGTGGTTACTTAGTTAACTGTTTCACCATCTCCTTCAGTCAAGCAGTAGATCAATTTCACCGCCTCCCTCTACCCCTTCATTAGGGACTGACCTGTGACTAGCTTTGACCAAGGAAGATATTCAAAGTAAAGCCGTGCAGCTCCTGCTCTGCTGCTCTTGGAGAGCTGGGACAGCATGAACAAGTATTAGCAAGGCTGAGAAACTGAGTAAGTGTTGAAGCACCCAGCCCCAAACCAGTCAAGTGCTAGACCTGTGCGTGATGCCCGCAAGAACCAGCCAGACCCCAGCTGACCCAACAACTAAGTGCAGACCCAACAGCTGGCCACAGATGCAAGAGTGAACTCAGCCAGGCTGAGCAGAAGAACCATCCTGCTGAGCCCAGCTAAAATTGTCAACCCACAGAATCATGACCTGAATGCATGGTCATTGAGCTTTGGGATGATTCATTACACGGCAAAAAGATATTCAATGCACCTCTCAAGGAAGTTTCCATTCCTGCCACAATCTAGAAGCTGGGGAAACCAGAAGATGCCCCTATGTTTGGCTCCAGGACCATACTCCCCTAGCCAAGACAAATAACAGCAAAATGAATATCCTTTGACATGAGGTCTAGGGATGAGACTCTGAGGCTTCTGTTACTGCTGCCTCAGAAGTGCTGACCATCTCCCTGTCTGGGTTTGCTGGTGGAAAACAAGGGAAGCAACATGACAGACTCTACCTCATTTTTCCCATCCTACTGTCACCAGAGGGTGTCTGTTGGAGGGGCATGCTGGAGCTCATGGCAGCTGCTTATACAATCCATAGTCTCAGCCCAGCCCTGTAAGCCCTGAACCAGATTTTCATTTCCACCAGCTTCACTCATGGGTCTCACTTGGTCTGAATTTGGTGTGTGTGTAAGGTGGGGTAGGGGGATGGGCCATGGGCCATTATTTGTGGTCCTCCCCAACACCCCCCTCCAACAAAAGCCCAGAAGCCACAAAGACTGACAGACCTGACTACACAAAAATTCCAAACTTTTGATCCACAAGAGAACCACAGTGAACAAACTGAGAAACACTTCTTGCAATGTATATCCCAAAATGATGGACAGATTTGACCATAAGCATTTAAGACTTTTACTCAGCAAAGACACCACCATTAACTCTGAATGTGAAAAAAAAAGTTTGCAAAATACATAATGGAAGAAATGACAGATTTATCCATGTAAAAATTAAAAATATCTCATGGCAAAAGATACTATAGACAAACATAGCCAGTGCAACCTGTTCTGCCAGCTCGGGGTACAAATAAGGTCACATATTTCTGTTCTTCATAGGCGCCCCACCCACTCACAGTGCTGGGAAGGGAACTCTGTTCCCTCTCGGGGCGAGCTCACACGGGAGTGCAGCCTCTGCAGAGCAGCGCCGCTGCCCCCACTGACACCTTCAAACGTGTTCGCTCTTGACACGGTACACTCACAGTGATACAGCCATCCCTCAGAAACACCTGCACACAGGTGGCTCCACAGCAACAGCTTGAAATGTCCACTGCTCAGGCACCAGGAGAATGTTCTGTGGGCCGGTGCTTCCCGACAACAGAATCCTTGCTGTAGCTGGAGAGACTGGAGTGGATCCCCAGGCCGCGGGTGAAAGGCTGGTTTCTCCTGCCCAAGGTGCCTGAACAGGCAGGGCCGGGAGCTCTGTTTATACCCCAGCACCAGAAGTGCTGATTTTCTAAAACAAGGATAAAATTCATAGCCAAGTTGGGAGGTCAGAAGGAGGAATGGGACCAAACGCAGATGAGCAGATGTGGACCTGCAGGGGAACGGCTGTGCCTGGGAGGCGCTGGGCTCTGGGGACACAGCTGGGCCACAGGCTCTGCCCAGACAGAGACTGGAATTGGGCTCTGCACAAGGCTGGGCCTGTGAGGGTCCGTCCCTCAGGAAGGGGGACAAGAGAGGGCAGAGGCGCCCAACACAGGCACCCTTCCAGAGTTGGCATGGCATCCTTGAGAATTCTGTCTGCTCTGGGGAAGCTCACGTGCTTCTTGTCCATGTATGTGCTCACAGGACATCTGAAAACCAAATTCATGCCAAGGAGAGAGGTGCGGGCCTGAGGCCTCTCCCTCTTGTGTGGAGGTGGGAGCTTCATGCCAAGTGACCCAGAAGAGGTCAGGATGCCTGTCAGCCATGTGGCCATGGCCATGCATGCAGCCCTTCTGTGCCCCAATTTCTTACCTGCAAAATGGGAATAATAACAATATCACCAGCAAAACACCCGTGGTGCTGCGGCTTGATTAAGTGAATTATTTTTGCAAAGTTTTCAGAGCAAGATCTGGCATAGG